TCCTCAATGCCTCCACATTCATCTGTTTTCTATCAGTAAAGTATGGGATGAGAAAACTCATCTTGTTCGAGTGAGTTTCCTAAGTAAGGGAGAGAAGTGGATACACCGACCGCGGGAGGTGATGCCACTGTTTACATCCCATACTATCTGAGGAGAAGAACTGACTCGAAAATACTGATGGATTCTCAAAACAGGAAATGAAGAAAGAGGCACGATTTAAGAATTCTCCAGACGTAAAGATCCAGAACAAAGGAGGAGGAAGAACACACTCTCACTTCCTTTTGTCAAACCTGTGCAAGACAGGAAAACAGAGGAAAGGAGAGTCTCCTTTTTGAGACACCACCCACCCACCCAACGATTATTGGAATCTTTCTCGAATTTCTCTATTTCTATTTTCAGTCAATTTTTTCTCCGGAAAATACAATCGTCGCGGATGGGAAAGAAATAAATATAGATCGCTGTATTATTACTGCTTGACAGGAAACAGGATTGTTTCCCATAGCCATATTTATTTCTTTCCATTCGCTACGAAGTGGCAACACCAACCCCTGCGGGAGGTGATGCCACTGTTTACATCCCATACTATCTGAGGAGAAGAACTGACTCGAAAATACTGATGGATTAACCGCTCCACACCGCTCCGTGACATCAGAAAAAAAAACGCTCCGCTCCGTGAGAGTTTTGTTGCAAAGATCTCATCGAGAGCTTGCCTTGACCTAGCGGTCGATTTCGTCAACCGCTTGGTTGTGAAGCAATGGAGCTACAGCAGCATGGACGTCGGTCTAGGTCTCTGGTGTTATTTCACCATGAAAGATACAAGTAGCTGTAGATGTAAAACCTGGCGCTGGCCACGTTGGCCATCTGTTTCCCTCTGTTCCAGCGGACTACAGTATTTACCTTGTCAGGTACGCCTTTCTGATCAAGGCAGCTTTCTCTGGCATGTTTATTTACAAGGCAGTGGAGAAGCACACGTATAACTACCTGAGGATACAACCTTCTAGTCTTGAGAAGACGCTCCAGGCGATCATTCCTCGCTGATAGTCTATGCGTGATGTGTGTACCCGTGGCGGTGGTAACTTCTTCCCACGCATTGCATGTCTTATCCGCGAACGTCCGAACGGAAACAGAAGAAACAGATACACCGAACAGCTGCTCACCCTTGGTATACGCTTCGTTGAAGGAGATTGTTCCAGCTCTACAAAGGGTTGCCCGGAGTGTGAGCAGCAGATGGCAGTAGTGCTCATCACGGGTGCTGAGGTGACAGTAGTAGCTCAACGGATGGATGGCGAATCACAAGGCGATGAATGTTCTCAGAAATATCGCTGCGTGCACGTCGTTCGTTTCTTGCAGTTTTTCCTCGCAAGCTCCGACAAGCACAGCCGACAGCAGCATATAGACTATCTATGTATGCATAGGCAACGCCCTGTTGCCCTTCGCCCAATAATAACGAAGTACTCTACGCGGTGCGCCTCAAACCACCTGCATGATTCGCGGTGCGTATTTTTTTCCATGCGGTCGTCAGCGATTGGCCGTAAGGTGTTGAAATTCAAGTACTTGAACAAAAAACTCGGAAAAACATTGGTCGTTTTCGACAAAGCTTGGGGAAGCTGCGGTCTGTGGTGGTGCGTTATTCATGAGGTGATGATGCAGTTCGCAGAGATTGCTTCCTCATTTTGTGTGGCAAGGAGGACAAGCCTCCTTGTTTCCTACAATGGTCTCGTATCCACCGCGTAAGCTGGTCGATTAACATTGAAGTTCTCAGAGCGAACAAGGGGGGCAGAGGGCATGGAGAAAACGAGAAGTCCTCTCAGTGCTCTCTGAGTGTCAGCTTTTACAAAGAATACAAAAAACGACTATAGGATCTTGGTTCGAGCGCTGGTGGCTGGCGGCTGGCGGCTAATCGGAGAACCGGAAAGAGTCGAATTGTCGAATTAAGGAAAAATAAATACACACACAGAAGGACTACCCATTCGAGATATATTTACCCTTGAGCAGTCGAACGGGATGTGGTGGAGTCTTTTTTTTTTTTTTCAGTGAGTGGAGGAAAACCGAATTGTTTTTTTCGAGACAGACTCGAACCTGAAATTTGTGCCTGTTCGGGACAACCTTGCTATTACACCGCATTCTCCACCCACCGTCAGGGTGTCAGGGTCGGTGTGCAAGTTGCATCCATCTCAGCTTGAAATACATGGTGGTCCTTTCTCGGGCGAGAAGCGCCACTGCCCGGGCGCAAGCAGGGCACACTGCACCGACGAATGTTGGAAACAATGTGGTGGCATCAATGCGAAATTCAAAATCTCAGCCGATGATGTTCGCGAACTCCCACCCGCACATGATGCGTGGTGTCAGCGGGCAACGGCCATCCAGCGGTAGATCACCAAAACACCCGAGCACCACAACAAGACACGGGATAAAGGGGGCAACAAAGGCCCTATGCTGGTACCGTCTCCCGGCCACAGGAGGTTGGGTACCTTCAGCGCGGGCGGTAAGTGATCACAATGTAGAAGACTGCATACTGGAAACTGTATTGCGACTTGAGGACTACTGTACCGTAGCTTGTAGCCCGTCTGTAAAAGCCGTGTCATTGTGAATGCCAATAACCTTAATAACATCGCATCAACACCGCAACAAAAAGCTTACGGCACTCCATCGCGCGTTCGGTACCTTACACAGGGCCACACGGCCGTGACCGTCGGTACTGACATGGTAGTCTTCGGTGGCGTCGTCAACGGGGAGCGAGTTAATGAGGTGAGTGTGTCGATCGACTGAGATCCCGTCTCCGTATCGCTGAAGCTCAATTCCCCACACTCACGACAGTCCTGTTATGTACATTGTCGACACACTGATGCAAAAGCCGGCCTACTAGGTCCAACTACGGCAACGGACCCTGATACTATAGGCAATGAAATTCTTCCATTTTGGCTTGCTGGATCATTCGAAAGTCGACACACGAGCCCGGGCACAAACGTCTACTGTCCTTGTTGCGACCACCTCCTCATGTGCCTCAAACCTCTTTCTCCTTCTCGGCGTATCCAACCCACGAAAAAAAACATGGCACACGCCATTGAAGCTAGCAAGCTTCGACGTTCGCACACGAGGTTGGCGCCGCCTAGACTCAAGAGAGTCGCCAGGGAACGCACAAGGGAGAACTCCACCTCCTATCGCGATGGCCACCGTCCCAGCCCCCCGAGCTTATCACGTCGCCTGGGCATTCGGCAACGATGTCTACGTTCACGGGGGCGAAGGACCCACAGGAGTGAGAACGGACACCGACGACCCTGACCTGGACGGTGTTTTTGGGAGTGTCGGGCGTGATCTCTTTGCCGAGGAGGATGGTGGGGCACCCCTGGATCCCGTCAGGGTCGTGAGGGGGGCCGGCGCAGGGAAGGGTGCAGCTGCGTCTGGTCACAGAGTTCGCAGGACGGGTCCTTCTTGTGGTGTGGAGAGACGGCCTTCTGTGTCGGTGCTAGAGGACCTTTGGAAGCTAGACTTCCGCACGCTACGGTGGGAAAGGGTGAGGGTTTGGGTCTCGCACAGCAGTTTTTTTTTACCAGACGGTGCAGGTAGGGTCCGGCGAAGGCAGAGGTCAAGGCGCAACACAGAAAGCATTGATGCGTCTACAATGTCACTCAAAGACAGACGTCTGTGAGCGTCCTCTACTGTGTTGGCCTCGTGGGGATCCCAGCGCGAGTTTCGGCAACACATCACCAATCTGAGGCCATCAATGTCGAACCCTCAACGCCCAACTCCTTACAGCGCACGTTTCAGCCTTCTTCTCGTTCCTCCCGCACCACGTTCGATCGCATCATCGCACTGCTGTGCATCGGTAGTTATCATCGCGACTCGCACCACTGGGGCGAAAGGGCCACACCGCTTCGGTCGTACCTCTCCGAGATCGGCCGTGCGTCCTGATCTTCGGGGGAGCTCCCGCCGGGCGACGGGGCCTCAGCAACGCCCTCTACTCCGTAGATCTTGCCATGCTTTCAGCCGGTGAGGGAACCTGGGAGCGCCACAAACCGTCCGGGACGGCGCCCGCTCCGCGACACGGGCACAGCTTGACAGCTGTGGCTGGGGGTAAACGACTGGTGCTTTTTGGAGGCAAGGCGGAGAACGGGGATCGCCTTGGCGACATACAGGTGATGATCAGAGAGTACGCCAGCGGGCTACGGTGGTTATTCTGCACGGAAGGTCTAGCATCGTAGTCTGTCTACGTGCAACCACGTATGGGCAAAAGTACTCTACTTACAGCATACCGCACTTCTATGTCCCCCAAGAACACCTGGTCGTCACTCGCGGGGACACGATTGAGCTATTATCAATCCGCGTGTCAAGGCTACCTTCGTTTCACCACACTATACTATTTGTAAGCGCATCGCCAAATCACAAAACAACGTGTTAATATTTCCCCGTGCTTTTCTCGACATGGTCTGCTAGATCCTAGAAGTAGGCGGCGGCGGCAGCCTCTCGTGGGCAGTCGTACAACGTCCCGTTGGAGACCTTCCGCCCGCTCGTCACGGGCACTCGGCGTGCGAGGTTCCCACCTCAGCGGGGGTCGGGGCAAGGATCTCTCGGGGTGCGGGCGTTCTCGTCTTCGGCGGGGAGGAGACGGCAAACGAAGGGCCGGAAATCCGGTCTACCGATTCCCACAAGATGTTCCTGTACGATCCGAAGGTAACAGCTAGCAGATCGTTTTGAATGATTGTTCTACAAGGCATTGTCTTTGCTCTCTCATTGTACAAACTTTGTGAGTGTGTTGAGTTGACTCAGAGAATTCCATCTTGATTTTGAAGGTGCGCGATGGATATGTTCTGCGCCTCATCCCCGTGGCCGCACACGACCAAATATGGCGATCCTATGTACAGCACTCGCTGATGTGTGGCCGTGCTACAAAATGACAGGAGTCCCGATGGCAGGCCGTCGAAACGGGCCACGCCTTCCCTATCGGTCGGCACGGCCACTCGATGTCATCGATCGCGGGGTGGACACCACCGTCTTTCCACCCGGACGGCACGCTCACAGCGTCCGAGCTAGCACCGCCATCAACAGCAACGGCAGGTTGCGAAAGAAACGCCACCGGTGTCACCTGGGCAGCAGCGGAGAAGGACCGGCGGGTCGGTGGCAGTAGCGGGACCTCCGCAGGCGGGCGGGAGCCAGCTACGAGGTCGACAGTGGCACCACCGGCCAGCAGCCTCCCGTCAGAGGCGGGCGTTCTCCAGTGGGGAGAGAAGGCACCCACCTGCGCCGTCATTTTCGGCGGGCTCAACTCCATGTACGTGAGCCCGGAAGTGTGGATGCTGCCGTTGAGATGGGGCGAGAGAACAGTCCCGTTCTTCTCCCCAAAATCGGAGCCGGAACCGAACCTCCAACGGGGGGATGGAGGTGCCATTGGGTCGGGTGGTGACGCCGACCGCGGGAAAAGGGAACTCGGGATGTCGACATCCGGCAGGTTAAAGGGCGGAGTGGCAACGGCGGCTGCGACGGCGCAGGGTAGGACTGCTGCTTCCGCGGACGGCGGACGCAGGGTACAGGGAGTAGGAGGAGCCACTGTGAACAAGATTGGAACCGGAGATGGCGCATGGCGCTTGTTTCAGGCCGGTAGCACTGGTGTTGAGAACGCGAGAGTGAAGCATCGTAGGGCTAGCCTGCCAGGCGGCTTCGCTGGCTTTGCGTTCGACGCTAACCGTTCCAACGGGGAGCAGCCGATTCACGAAATAGGGGTCGCTGAGCTTGCAGGGGTGGTGACGGCCGGACCGGGAAGCGACAACAACGACCACAACGGGATGGCGGAAGCAACGGCGGAGATCGAAGTGAGGAAGGAGCGTAGTTGCCGTGCGCGGGTTCTTACCGAACGGCGACAAGGGTCAACAAATTTGAAGTTCCTCTCCTTTGGAACAATAGTTTAGTTGACCTCGTTTTAGGGCGCACAAATCGCTGGGAGTGGCGCACGTGAATTTCCTTGATGAGCAAAGCTTGGTATTCAAGCGCGAGGCATGAGCAGCGGCCTCGTGACTTGGTGGTAAACGAGATGAAGACCGGTTGCAACAAGTTGCCCCTCGTGTTGGTTCGTTTAGATATTACCCGACCTTACGTACACTTTGTCGACGAAACGCGACGATAAATGGGACAGGCCGAGTTGCACCGTCTCAGGAAAATCGCCTACGTTTCGGAGAAGAAGCTGTCGGCGGAGGTGGCCACCAGGATGCACCTTGAAGAGACGTGAGTGACGCTGCCTGCAGAGTACTACAGGGGAAGAGCCGGGGGGAAATGAGCTTCGGTTGTCGTCTCCGGCGGCATCTAAGGCCGATGCCATTTGCAGTGATACGAACTGCCGTACCTGACACGCGTTCTTGTAAACGTACCACAAAGTCGCGATGAAGAACGTTCTGGTTCCGACAGTTCAGCAGGAAAGCAGGACAATCGGAGGTGTAGCGCGTTGGCGCCGGGGAGTACGCAGAACCGACTCGAGATTGTCGTTCCACACGTTATGAAATGTGTTTAGTATCGATGCGTTGCAGTTTCAAAGGCTTCCGGCCGCTCGGCGCTCACCCCCACTTTTTTCCCAACGGTCTTGTTGTTCTTTATGTCACAGGATCAAGGAGATGCGGGAAGAGACGAACAAGCTCCGCTTTTCCAAGGAATCGTCGGAGATTCAGCTGCGAGAGGAGTCAAGGTACGATGATATATACGACTGGCCTATCTTGAGCGTGTTCGTTCGTGCTTCCGTTGGACACACGTATGATTTTTCTGAGGAGTCCCTCGCGAATTCACAACTGCCCTCGATGCCGTGCGTGTTTTCGAAGAAAGCCATTAACAAGCACCTGTTTCCGGGACTTGAAGGGGTTCATCAGGCAGGCGCAACTGAGGTTGATTTATGTCTTCGAAAGTCCCCACGGGGCGACTCCTTCCACACTGATTACAATAAAACACGGAGAGGAACCTCCCGCAGGATCGAGGAGCTAGATACTGCCATGCGCCCCGACTTGACACCCAGCTCGTTTAGTGTGTGTGTGTCGCCTGCTGTCGACGCAGCATCACCGCCGGGCAGGCAGTTCCCTCTCCGATCGTACATTGTGTTGCCCAGAACTGTTTCGGAACGACTTTGGTATGTCCCTCAACCTTCCTGCTTGCAAGAAGTAAAAAAAGCCCCTAGACGTTTCGTAGGCGCCATTGCGAAGGGATCCACGCAATAAAACTTTCACAATCGAAATGTCTCAGGTCGGTCTTTCGTGCAAACTGTGGGTCTACTTCCAACCTCCTCTTCTGAAGAGAACGAACGTGTTTGGTCACCTATAGCCTCGTGGAAATGTATCCCCTTGCTCGCCCCCCCCCTTTTGGTTGGGTGTGTCCTTGCCGCCGACAGACGTCATTGGCATGAGGGCCAGAAGGCGAAGGTGCAATGCGCCAGCTTAGAACGGCTTTTGGCGGAGGCCTACGAGCTGCTCAACATGGTCGAGCTGCAACACGTGAGGCTCGCTTGGTCAAACAAGTTTCGATCGATGCAGCTCATTATCAGTTACTCGGGTGGTCACTTGTAGCTACGATGCCTTGGAGCGTTGCAGCTCGTGAGGGTACGTCATTCACGATGCGGCCTGTGTGGAAACAAATATATGGGTGAACCGAATCTTCAAAACAAGCCGGGCACAAGCAAGAAAACCTGATACACTCCTTTGGGTCTGGACGTTTTTCTGTACACCGTAACACAGCACCTTCAGGTGAAGTCTTTGATGCCCGCGCTCTACGGGGACCCGCGGCTGAACCGAGAGATCCAAGACCCGGGCGAGCAACGGGGGATCGACAAAAACTCCCTTCACGGACCGGGGCAATGGCCGCCGCAGCACCACCAACAGCCGCAGCACCCTCTCGAGAATGGTGACGGGAACCACCCAGGAAGGGCCGCTGAAGGCAGACGCAGCAGCGCGGCGACCGCGGGGAATGAGGCGACAGAGGACGCGGCAGCTAGACAGTTTGGGGAAGTCTCGGGCCGCGGTGGAGTGGAGGCTACTGTAGCTGTCAGAATAGCGGGGGTCTTGGGTGCAGGGGGGCCCCTCGTGGCTGTCTAGAAGTTGATTTCGAGCCCGAAAATGACAGCGTAGTGAGCTCTTTGTATGCGCAGACACACGTGACCCAGAAATAAAGTGTAGACGCACGCCTTGCGTTTTTTCGTAGAAACGCGGGTAACATTGGGTGACCCCCCACCCGAGGGGCTGATACACTGCACGGTTAATGGTAGACAGATCGGAGAAGCCGGCTTGCTACTCTTTTCTAACTTGTTTTAAGAACGCGAGGAACCGAAGTCATGCCAGAAGAAGACCAGCGATGGACGTCGGTTGGTCCAGTGTCGTGGAGCAGCTTTCACGGAATTATCTCGTGTGAACGGACGAGATACAGCCTAGGCTAGATTTCAGTGAGACAAGGCACCACACTACTGTCGTACAAAACACGGACGCTATTGAAACTCTTTTCGCTTGAGTTCAAATCACACCGCGGCTGCCAATTTGAAAAACTACAAACCTCCGAGTTTTGGCCGACAGAGTACTGTAAGAGATCAACTCGGTGTTTTGAGGCAATATTATTCACGCCGCACCCGATGGCGGTATGTATCATCCACCCAACACGAGGCATCTACTTCGAAGGGCGTAGACATTTCACAATCGTGTGTCGTTTCACAATCGTGTGAACCCGCCGCTTCAGGTTTTGACAGAGTGGGACCAAAGCCGCAACCTCGAACACGACGTCTGCTTGTTGTACTTCGTCGAAGGCCGCGCTCCGAGATCTCTCTTTGGTCACGTTGGTCAATGTTACTTTTTCCCGGTCAGTTTTTGCATAGTTCGGGCAAGGGGCGTGCTCTCCTCGCAGAACGGCAAATCAGAACAACCTAGGCTTTCGGCCACGCGCCAGATTGGGCTAGGTGAAAGTCCGAAGTTGGTTGCGGAGAGAATGCACTTACGTGGCATGTTCTGCTTCAGCTACAAATACAATAAGAGGAGCGGCATCGCGTCAACGCAGCTTCTGTTGACCAGACTATCTCTTTTGTTTCACGCCATTCGCGTTGTTCACAGTCGC